TCCCATTTCAGGAGACTCGCGACGCTGAGCCACGTAAGATACTCTGTGGGTGGATATCGAGTCGAGATCTTGCTTTGAAGGGGAGGAATCGCGGCAGGGATGGAGTTTCAGATGAGATGACCTCATGATTCATGAACGAACCTCTAGCTCCCTCTTTCAACAAAGTCACGGGTTCCTCGACTTGGAGGAATCGGGAAGCTCCGAAGACTTCTGTAGTGACCTGAATCAATTCTGCGGCCGGTCTGTAGAAAAGGATTATTTTCGCTGGCGTGTCGCTGTGCCGGCACCAAGGAACGGTTCCGTAGGCTCGCTCCAATGTATATCTAGGGTGGTTGACGCGACATACGTATTGGCGTTTTATGATTCCAAGGACATGATGAAGATTGCGTAATGATCCAGGAAGGAATAAGAGACTCACATGAGCTTGCGGGCCCCTTCCGGATACGTGAATAATGTTTCCAGGACCGCTTCGTCAATCGTCTTCTCCACGACGAGCTCTCTCGATGATTCAATGAATGTAACCGTAAATGATCTCAGGGTGGAATTCTTCCATTCCTTCGTGATTATGACTGCATATTCCCTGCCGAACGATGGTATGCTGGATGAAGTTGTCGAATCACCATACCGAGGAGCGGCCCCGAAGAAAAACTCACTCCGCCCGAGAACATGTCAAATCCCCCACGGATGACCTGAAAGCTCCTGCGATCAGGATCAGCAAGAGGCTGGATATGATCACACAAGACAAACACTGCTTCCAGTCCAGGGTGTTTCTCGAGCATTTGTCTGCGCGGACCGATACGTATCGCCGTCGGAGTGCTTCTAAATATTCTCTGACCACCATTAACTCCGATCGTAAACGATGATGGACCCACAATCCGGATCTTCGAGCGAGGCTGTGCTCGTGACCGGAGCGAATCCGGATTTCGCAGACCTTCACGGCTTGTGATCCGCAGAGCCCTTACTTCGTCTGCTACAGGACGATGCATTTTGGACGGACTATGACCCAGTACCCAGACATTTCAGAGCCCCCGTTCCTCATCGGAAGCTTTCGTGGAGCGGCCGAAACGAGAATAGCTACGAGCTCATTCACTAAAGTCTACTTATTGAGTGTGAGCGATATCTTATTGAGTAGCGGTATGATCTGCCACCATTACCGGGAACCCCTGCGTATCGTTAAATCGAATGGAAGTCTGGTTTGATCCATAGACGGTTCCATCACCGACATATCAGAGCATTTATCGAGGATCTCATTCACATATGGTACTGAGAATATGGTCCGGTCCGACCCAGTCGGGAGGGAGAAACTGAAGGAATTTCGCGCTTATAGCTCTCGCAGCGGTCAACTTGAAGTTCAATGCGGGCGATCGACATGCATAGCGGAAGACTGCTCGACCGGTGTGGCTGAGGTGGAGGACGCTTGCTCCAAGCCTTCTTGATGTAAATGACGAGGTTCTCGATAAGCGAATCTCTCGTTGGGTCATCACTGATGACTGCTTCGAATTCTCGTGAGGAGCCGCTCAACCTTCCTGGTCCTTCTCTCGAGCTTTCACCTTCATCCGGCAGATTTCCAACCACGCCGCTCCGTGGACCCAGCTCAAAGTCGAGCCCTGGCTGCCGTCCAAGACCTTGAAAATCAAATGGTTTGAAACTGTCCGAATCTGATGTAGCAGAACCAAGATCTATTTTTCTAGTCAGGTAGAGGGAGCAATTCAGACACGAGTACTCAAACCCCACATCGGAAAGGGGGGAGCGAGGGAAATTTCATGGGAAATGAGCCAAGACCTCTTGAAGTCCGGATAGGTTTTTTTTCGAGCGATGGTGTCAGGCTCCATGCTCCCGGGATTCGGCGAGTTTTGTCATTCAAGTTCGGTATGATGTGAATAGCCGATGCTCTCCATCCGTCTTAAGAATGAGCGGATCCCGTGAAGCGGTGGAGTTCGAAGCGAGAATCAAATCTACTCACACGGAACTCTGTCGCACTTTGCCATAGTTGCGAGATGAAGTGCAAGAGAGCGTACTCCGCGCAGAAGAAATTCCTTCCGAGCGAAGAATTGCTACATTCTGCAAAGCATCGCGCGAGTTATCGAATTGAAGCGTCTGCTTCCATCTCGAGGCCCTCAACGAATCTCGCCTTCGACCCACGAAACATATACATATGGTACATCTATTCATCCTGCCTGAAAATCATCGGAGCTCGATTCGTTGAAGGTATTCACCTATCTCTGCAGCCTGCACGAACGAATTCTCTGTAAAGGCTTGCGTTCGCTGGGCTAATTCATGTCCCGAATGAAAACCTCCTCTCCGGTGGATCAAGTAGGTGGTTTTGTGATCTTCAGGAAAATCGAAGTCTAGATAAGTCGGACCCCCTTCGGATGCGCGGGTCGAAACCAGCGCCCACGTGGCGCCCAGGCATTTGGAAAATGAGGGATCGAATGGCTTCGTGATCTTGTTGAACAGTTCCAGGTTAACGAGTTCCATCGATTCGTCCGTAGTGCTGTGGAAGCACGCGGCCAGCCAGTGGTCAGCCTTATCCTTCCCCGCATCAGCCAGGAGATGCCTCCAGCTCAGGGGTTTCGTTAAGAGGGAGAAGCGATTCTCTTCGTAGGTGACTAAAGGATTCTTTTCGGATTCGTCGATCGTCTCCGCATAGTACGCGACGTAGAGGTCGCTGCCATCGAAGTCGATTACGGCATTCATGGACATGTCCTTCCAGTGAACGAAGCTCGCCGCGCTCAACCACGTGAAGTAGGCTATTCGATGGTAGGAGACCATAATATGAGTGAGCGATGAGCGGAATCCGGGAGGAGCGATAACATTCTCTGATGGCTGAGATGTTCTGACCTCGATGCAATGTTGTTCTCCTGTCGAGTGGCTCCTCCACCTGAAGAAAGCGCGAGCTCTTGAAGAGCGCAGAAGTGTGCTTAACCAGAGTCGCGTCGGCGTCGGAGAAATAGAAGAATTTCAAAGGTGTGTCATTGTGCTTGCAATACGCAATCATTCGGTACGCTCCCTCGATGGCGGGCCTGGAAGGTTTCAGTAATGAGGATCGAGTAGAGTCGGAAATTGAGCTTTGGACCATCTGACAGCTCCAGGTTTCCAATGGTGAGAGATCGAGACGAAGTACACCAGATCCTTGTAATCGTCCGGCTCAGTCCATTTCGTTCCAGAAACGATCGTTTCGATTGTCTCATTCACAATCATCGCCTCCAACGGTCCCGTGAACCTGACTGCGGAAAGCCTCGGATTCGCATTGGCGTTCTCCTTCGTGAATATGACTGCCCAATCCCTGCCGAGATGCGGAAGTCTATATTATGAGCTTTGAGCACTTCCGTCTGCTTGTCGTTGTCGAGTAACGGCAGAAGGAACATGAAAGCAAACTCACCCTTTGTCTTCGCATCCTTCAGGGAAAAAATGCCCTCTGGCCAGGAAGGCAAGCAATATGAGCAGTATTGACAAGAGAACCCAGTAAGCTCCGAAACTTGTTAGTTTGAGGGAGGAACAAGTGACACCCGAAGTACTCGAGAATGCTTGTTCGGGTATTTCTTCGGTGCTGAATTGGTCGTCCCTGAATTTACCACTCAAGAACCCCGAGGAGACCTTCTCCACATATTCTCTAGGCAGCATTCCCGAGACTCTGGTCAAACGTTGTTTCCGAGAACTAAAGAGCAGACTCGGCGTCGGAGGTCTAACTCTGACCGAGAGCAACGACGATGTTTTCCCGGCATTCCCCAGGAGCGCGGGGGAGTTTGAGAGAATTATTCGTGCGCTGCTCTTCTAGTGCTCATCGATCGCGGGGATACGGGCCGGGACAGGCAGAGAATGACATATTTTCCAGACAAGAAAGTTATACGAGTATCCTCCAATATCTGTCGACGTCTCCGATCTCCGCATTGCCCTAGACGTGATTCGCCGACTCATGCCCATGCCGTATGTATACTGTATACTCATGCTTTTTTGACGCTCGCGAATTCCCGTTTTGATCATTTTGGGCTCTTAGAGACTACTCGACGATGCCAATTTCTCTTGCCTTCAGAACTGCGAGAATGTCCACTTATCGGACTTCCGGATTTTGAGGCCAGTTTCGGACGTCCGCCGGTTTGAATCTGTTCTTCTATTCAGGCCTTGTTTGGGCAAAAGTCAAGGTGTTCAGAAACTCCGAGAATCTCACTTCTGGAATGAGCGCGACTTTCGGGTCCCCCGGTCTCGGCGAGGAACGGGTTCCTGGAAGCACCCTGACTGGAGTCAGATGCAGCGAGGGCCTGTCTACAACGAATCGTTTCTTGATCAAGATGTAAACTCGCTGTTTGATGACCCCGGAAAAAATCGTCGTATCATTTTAGGACGGTCGACAACTTCTCTTATCTACTTCGGGCATCGATTCAGCTGGAAACAACTCGGAATGGGGCTTGGGGCCGGTGTGCACATCGCATTTCACGTGGGACGGATTCATCAGCATATCGATAGATTTCCAGTCCTAGATCTGCAGCTGGGTCTCTGATGGTCTCCACACATTACCGCCCTGCCGAGACTCTCAGTCACGCTCAGCTGGTGCGGTGGATTCAATTCGTTAGACGGCCTGCACTCTCCACGAAGATGCTGCGAATCCGAGAGGCCGTGTGGAGCCTGAGGTACATCAATCCCAAACCACTAGATCAAGGGCCGCAAACACGCGGCGTTCTCCTTCGCGCCGGATATTTCTCATGACGCAGTACCATTCGCAGGATTTCGCATCCATGAAGCCTACCGGCGAAGTGCATGCTAAGGAAACCCCCACAGAGACATCAGGCAGGGACCTGGCGGAACATGACTTGGAATCATCGTCTCTTAACTAAACGAGCCCTACAATCGCGATTCCAGGCATTGGTGACTACATTTCATCGGGAGAACAGTTTGACATCCCCGCGGTCAGATATGAGGTTCACGAGAAGGCCCGAAGAGTTGTCTCGCAGGCCATCGTCGAGACTCGATCACACGAAGCAGCAACTGTCAGGAATACTGTTTTATTTGATAATGGTTTCCGGGGTTTTCGGGTACAACTTCAGCGTCACGTGGTGCTCTTCAACTCCCTCGGCGGTTGAAGTGTCGATCTCTTTCTCTTGATTCTCGGCGTTGAACTCTTTCCCGGCCGACGATTCTTTCAAGTTCTCGTCTCTATCGGGTACTCTGACAACCTTGATCGTGATGTTGTTATTTCTTTTCTCCACGGGAGCCTTGATAATGAGCCGCGAGTCCGTCAATTGGGCTTGCAATCGATCGAGGGCGAATCCCTCCGGCACTTTGAATTTTTTGACGACTTCTTGCAGCGAATATCCATCGTCGAACAGCACTTTCTTGCTCGCGTGGACGCTCACCTCACGGTCCCTCACGGTGACCGAGACATCTTCGGGCGCGAATCGATCCGGCGTTGTCCGAAGCTCGCAGAGGACCCGGGGCTCATCGTTCTCTTGGAATGAAGCGGGTGATCTCGGACTCGAGCTCATGAAGATCTCCTCGAATACTCGCTGACTTCTCTGGGGGTCGACATTCACGTAACAGTTCCGGGATCGGAGCTCGTCCTCCATCCGTTGAATGTGTTTCTCAAACCACGATTTCATGTCGTTTTGACAGCACTCTTCGAACATTCCGGAGATGTCTGGCTTGTCTGCGTCGCTCAGCAAGTTTGAGAGGCTTCCGCTCGAACACGCTGTTTAAGAAGGGTCGTACCGGTAGAGTTTGAGTCACGGGTCCTACTACGATGCTCGGTGACATCACGTGTGGGCAACGCCAAAGCATTCCGATTGTCTCATAGGTCTTAAATAACCTACGTCAGCCCCAAGAAATTCTTTATTGTTGAGAACAAGCGACTGGGAGGCTTCGCCGTGCAAACGATTCATCAGGAAATCATGATGACCATCGTGAGCGAGCGGCGAGGAGAATGGTCTCTCACGCCTTGGCATTGATTCATCGACGAGGAGTCGGAGAAAGCGCGTGAACTCCGGCCGTCAGTGAACTCGTAGAAGACTAGAACCGTAACTGGATCTAATTGGGTAGATGTATGGCAATTCGATAGATTCTTGTCGATGATCCGCAATCACTTTGTCTTCGAGAAAGGTTTTCTAGCATACCAGTGACCGGAGTCATGAGTCTGGTACTCGAGACGACAGCAACTGGTCCCGAGTAAAAACGGCTTCTTGGGAGTGAAGACTTTCCTCAGCTGCTTTCCTTAGCACGGTCGGGAGGTGGTTAAACTCATGCTGAGTCTCTCTGACTCGAACCTATTGGGCTGGGTTACTATCATAGAGCGCCCGGAAAGCCACCGTATGACGTTTTGAGCATCCGATAGGACGATATCCGACGACTTGTGTAGAATTTCTCCTTCTCCGCTCTATGACGAATGACACGTTCTTCTACTGCAAGGGATATGTCATGCATGCATAGACGAATCGATCGATTCTTCTCCCTGCTATCGCTACTTGAGGGGAATCAACGCTTCGAGAGAATTTACGCTGATTCTTCGGCCGCATAGACACAGCTCGGAGATCCATGTTTTGGGATGAATGCACATAATGTCTCCCTGCCGTAGATCCGATCCGAGGGTGTGGGAAGAGCATGCTCAACGACTCATGCCGAAGCCGGCCCGTGTGCCCACGATAGCGCGGTAGTCGATAAACTTAACTATGGCGTGATCTCCAGACGCATGACAGGCACGATCATCGCTCCCGAAACGATTTTTGAACTACAATCACGAGCGCAACTTGACTTTTGCATCCCGAAAAAACCATATGGAGAAACTGTTTCCCCGCTCCTTGCCCGGAAGGTGTTTGACTCTTGAAGAGTTGAGATCAGGAGTTTGCTGATTTGACGAGATTCGAATCCGCGTTTCTCAACACTGTGATCTCAGTGGAATCTCCATGACTGCGGAAAAAAGCCTCTCCTTTTTGGTTCTCACTGCTTTCGGAATCGCCTTCACGTCGTGCACCCAAGGTCCTCGATGCTGAGCATATGTGCTGCTGTTTTCAAGGAATCTAAAGTTCCACCGAAGTTTGACAGTGCACTCCTCGGTGAATTTCAGAGTCCTGCTATAACGACCTGGGATGCATCCCGTTGAATGATTGTCCCGCCAGATGCGAGAATCCGTCGCCGGATTCTCGCGAAACCATCAACACGTCATTCATGTTTTACACGCGCTCCTCGCTGGCTAACGATAGTAGGATTCCGGGCCACCGAATCAACTCCGATGTTCTACGGAAAGTCGCATTCGATGCGAGCAAGAAAACGGTGGTAAGTTTCTCATCACCAATATAATCCCGTTGGTCGCGTCGATTAAAGAGATCTCGTCCATCCGTCCGAAAAATCAGACTTCGACTCCATATTTTCCCGAAATTTAGGTGCTTGTTCATGGATGGATCGAGAACTTCAAGATTGGCAAATGGCAGCCGTCCTTGAAGGATGCTCTCCTGCGTCTGGGTAACTTCAATGTCATCATCGTTGATTGGACGGGCGGGAACACCCCTCCGTATATTCAGGCTGCTGTGAACTCGAGAGTTGTCGGTGCCGAAATTGGACTTTTGATCCGCAAGCTGGGCGTAAGTAAGCAGCGGACGGAACCAAACGCTCATCCTTTGCTCGGAAAGCGTCCGTGGATGCTGATTTCCGTCTACTCCATCGATTGGTATTTTTTCTTTCCTCAAGAGAGTTCGGGGAACGGTTCCGTCATCGTTCCATCTCTATGGACACAGTCTTGGGGCGCACGCGGTCGGATTCGCCGGAAAATGGCTTAACGGGACCCTTGGACGGATAACAGGTTTAGCACAGGACACCTATCCCGACACGATGAATATATAGAATGAGGAGTCGTCTATTCGCCATGAGGTTCAGCCCCGTTCAGGGGAGGCCGATCGTTTGTTTCCCTCACAATTTCGATTTTTTCCAAATGATCACCAGCCCTGGACCCCGCTGAGCCCATGTTCCAGTATTGTCCCCCGTCGGCTCGACTTACCAATTCCGATGCAAAGCTCGTCGAAGTCATCCATACGGATGCCGACCCTTTCGATCCACCGACTGGTCTCGGAATGAGCATTCCAGTAGGCGACATCGATTACTACCCGAATGGCGGGTCGAATATGCCGGGATGCGAGTCCGGACCGCGTCAACCAGGACTTTCGAGCAACGAATCGCTCGAAAACGCAAGGGACAGAGCAATCTGCAACCACATGCGCGCTGTGGACTATGTGGTGGATTTCACCGAAAGCTCGGCTATGAACTCAACCTGCCGTCCCATCGCTTTTCCTTGCGAGAGTTATTCACTATTCGAAAGTGGTCAATGCACTGACTGCGGTCCCGATGGATCTCTTTGTTCGATCATGGGGCTCGGAGACGAAGGAGATTTCTACATACCCAGCAACAAGACCGAAGGCGCTCTCAAGTTATTCCTGAAGACAAGCTCCCAAGCGCCCTTCTGCTTGCATCCTTACGAGGTCGAAGTCTCCATCGGAAGCTCCCCGACAGCCATCTTACCCCAGATACCGTTCGTCTTCGTGAAACCGAAGTCCGAAGTTCCCCTCCCGCCGAACCGACTGAAGATTATCGTCAAGTTGAGGAACGGCGAATTGAGAGATTTCGAGCTGATGCTCGCAGCGTGAGTGGAGAGGGTCGCTTCACTTTTTCCGAGCCGATAATTTTGATGCAGACCAATACTCTTCTTTCGAATCTTACAACTACCTCGTGGGGAGTCGTTATTTGGCAAATTAGCCTCGATAAAAATGAAATCCCCAAGTTCCTGAATCGTCATATTTCCTGCAGCGACGATCTCTCTGCCGGAGCTGTGTATCGGAACATCCTGTACTCTGAAAAAGCCGTTCAAGACATCCAGTCGATAGGACTCACCCACGAAATCGAAAGACCGTCCATGCTCCCTTTGAAATACTTGAAGATGAAAACAATGACCGGATCGACTTCCTCGCGGTAAGATGCTGGAGGATGGAGGATCAATTTATCACCTCGACTGCCCGAGACTCTGGTGCGATTCCTCATTCCTGGGCAGCCATGGAGATGCTCGCGAAGACTAGAGAGTCAATGTCTGTCTAAATCCACAGGAATTTCACGGCGGAAGAGCAATTTTTCTGCCCTCCACCGGGCGGAGCCGGTATCCCGAAGAAGCTCCTCGTTGTCCTGAAAGAGGAGTTTTGCCGAAGGACCGATGAACAGAAGTCTGTACATCACATCACCATAATTCGACCGCATATAACTGTTTTGCATGTGCCGAGATTTTTATGAAAATGATTAAACAGCCTACGGGACTCGCTCCCGGCTCAAAATTCATTGGTTTGAGTTATTTTTTCTCGGGAAACCGAGTGTGGTTCAGTCGGAATGGCTGCGCGACCTATGTTGCCTGGCAGTTGAATTTTCTCGCAAAGACACGCACGCGTCATACTTTGTTTCTAACAATGGGTCGGCAAGAGACCGTCAAGATCGCTTGAGCTTATCGTCAAGTTGAGCAGCTCGCCGGATAGAGCTATTAAGTATTCCGCTCTTGTAGATTTCAGAGCGAGAGTACGGTTCGCCCGGGACAAATCCCTTCATAGCCCCGCGTAATCCGTCGAAATCGCGTCTCGCGTCGATTCCTTGCTCTCGACACGGGAATCGTCTCGTTCAGTCGACACACGATTGCAGGTACCATGGCGAGACGCGCCTTGCTGCTAGTGTTACTCCTCTGCGCAAATGCTCCCGGCCTAAACGCGAGGAAGGATGGTACGCAGGAAATTTCTCCATTCGCGGATTCCCCACTCGGCTCGCAATCAGTGGTCCCCTGCTATTCGATGCCGCGTAAACTCACCATCTCGAATTTCCAGAGGTCTGTTTCGGGGAGTTGCGCTGTATCCCTTTGAGGGACTGTCCCAAGAGACCGCTGAATCCAGAACCAGATCCACGAGAAACGATAAATACTCAGTTTCTGTTCTTCTCTCGGGAATCTTTCGGTGAAGAGCAGAAGATTCCCGGCTACAAGATCAAACGCGATGTCCTGCTTAACACGAAGTTTGATCCTGCGAGACGCACCATGGTAAGTCACCGTGAGACGCCGCCGTATGAAATAAACTAGGGTTTCCTCTACGGGCTCAGCTCGAGCTAAGCAGATGCTCCGCAGATAATCGTGCACGGCTGGATTGACAATGTTTTCCTGGGGAAGTGGATGACGATCATGAAAGACGCTCTCCTTCGAAACGGAGATTTCAACGTCATCCTTGTGGACTGGACTGGAGGGAACGGTTTACCGTACACTCAAGCTTCGGTGAACACACGGCTTGTCGGTGCTGAGATCGGGCTCCTTGTCACCAAACTAATGGTACTGGAAAACATCAAAGTCCCGCGTGCTAGGAACATACGGGTGCATTTCGTAATGAACGGCTCAGTTCTGGGAATTATCCCCATATTTCTATTATATAACAACGCAATTGATTCGTTTATGTTGTATCCGTCAGGAAACTTTCGGTATATCCCCATCGACCGTGCACGCCTACGGACACAGTCTCGGTGCGCATGTCGTCGGCTTTGCCGGTAAATGGCTGAATGGAACCCTGGGGAGGATAACCTGTGAGTTCGGGGAGAGGAGGGCTCGCGACCCTGAATTTATTCTAATTAAGGAAATTGAGTAACATCGATGAACGATTATTATCAACCCCCCAATCATTATTTTCCTCGGTATGCTAATTGACGTGCCTGGGTCTAATCCGCCATAAATCCGTTGCATCTATCCAGCTCTCGATCCCGCTGAGCCGCTGTTCGAATTCTGCCCTCCGCAAGCGCGTCTTTCGAACACCGACGCTGAATTCGTCGAAGTCGTCCACACGGACTCGTCTTCATTCGTGCCTCATTTGGGCCTTGGAATGGATCTCGCCGTCGGCGACGTAGATTTTTATCCCAATGGCGGCCAACACATGCCGGGATGCAACCTAAACGATCGTTTTGTCCGGATCCAAGACAAAAACATTCTCGAAGGCATACGAACCGTCGCGGCCTGTAACCACATGCGCGCAATCGACTATGTGATTCAATTCCTCGAAAACTCGGTCGTGAATTCGACGTGTACGCCGATTGCTTTCGCTTGTCAGAACTACGAGATTTTCGAAAGAGGCTACTGTTCTGACTGTGGAAGCGATGGCTCACGCTGCGCCGTCATGAGCTTGGACGATGCGAATCATAATGGCGGGCTCCGGAAGAAGTCGAACGACCCTGTTCGAATGTATTTCAAAACGGGACCCAAGAGCCCTTTCTGTCTTCATCACTACAATATCGAAATGAAAATGCTCAGGGATCCCAAGAAAAGACTCCAAGAAGTCTCGGGTGACGTGACGATAGAGATCGCTATGGCGAGAGGGATATCACGGAAATTCGAACTCAAGCAGGAAAAGTGAGTTGGAAGAGCGGCTTGGACAGCGGGATGATCGCATGCTGCCCATCAGGGACCCCGTTGGATGTGGGACTCCTCCACCTGCGAGGTACGGCAGACCAGCATTGAGACTCTTCCCTCGACCCTATTTCAGCGGTGATGACTTCACGCCAGGAGCGGCGTACCGATACCTTATCACCTCCGAGATACCCCTCGAGGACGTTAGTCACATAACCCTCACTTATCGGAGCAAGAAACTGCTCTTCGCACCGAAGCTCTCCGTGAAATACCTGAAATTCACTCCGATGACGGCGACAAAATCGAGGATGTAGGACCCTCCTCCAGGCTTGAGCTCGAGAACTTTCTGATAACAAATATATTGGGCTCGAAACGGGAAAAAATCTCTAACACTCCTGTTCCTCTCAACCAGGGATCTCAAGAAACTCAGCAAGTTCTTCTGCCCGAAAATCAGCGCGGTGGAGAGCCGCTACCCTAGTAAATTGAGAGAGGAATTCTGCTAGCCGAATACACACATCGATATCATCTGGAAACAGAATATCGGCCGGCTAGTGAAACAGCCACGTAAAGATAACAGTTCACCCTTTATTCCTCGAAATCCAGAGTAGTTGAGAATAAATCGTTCGCAGAAAGTGTCGAAGATACATCGGCATGGAGTGATTTCAGCTTTGTACATATCTTCAAATTCATCCATCGACCCTATTTCTTTCGTCCGCACGCCGCAAGAACTCACTCTTCTTTAGGACGGCGAAACAGTTAGTGAATCTCTCGAGATCCGAAGGACAAATGACGCGACGCCTCTTCTGTTCATAGAAAGTGCAACCGAGATCTAACGAGAGCTTAATCGATTGTTTAGGTCGAGTACGGTAGAATTTGAACAGGAACTCAGCATTCCCAGAATGTCTCTCTATTGGTCTCCTCCTTGTGCTCAATGTGACGTGGATATCACGAACGGTTTACCGTCGGCGATTCCTCACTGCCCGACCAATGCGGTCAATGAGAAACTCAAGACATCGGGCATTCTCTCCATGTAAGTCTTGCAAACTTTAGCCGCATTCTTGAGGAAGTTCGCTTCGTCTGAGGGTCCGTGTTGGGTCGGTGCATCTTTCCGTCCATCCAGCTCGTATATGTGACCATCAACCAATACGAAAGCGACGAAATGCAGATCGACGTTCTCTTCGAGACTCGGCGTCGAAGTCTGGCCCTCTTGGGCGACGCTGGCATGGATCTGAAATGATCGACAAGGGATCAGTCATCACTTAATTCAAGATAGCATGTGGAGGATCATTTCTCCGGCAGAAGAGTGATCTCCTCGCGCGGGATCATTCCAGACGAGTACGAATAGATGCTCTCCAGGGTCTAATCGCCAGCACAAACCTCGCCGATTTCTTCGCTGGTTTCCAAGAGTTTCGCGATCTCGTCAGGAGATTTACCCTTCGCACTCTTCATAAATTTTTCCAAGGCACTGTTCTCTTTGTAAGTTGCCTTGGAGTTCCCGAGAGCATGGAGGAGTCCCACGGTTCCACAGGCATTCTCGATGGTTTGCTTCATGAAGAACACTTTCGGATTGTCACTCCCAGTAGTGGGCTCAGTGCCTTTGACAGGATAAACAAGCAGCAGAGCCTCCACAGGCTGCGGTACCATGGCCAAGAGCTCATCATCGACGCCAAAAACGTCAACCAACGACCACTTTTCGTCAACGCCGAGTTCATGGATATACTTCGTGAGAACTTCGGGGCTGCTCTCCAGAGCCAACCATCGTAAGGACATTCCTGTAAAGTGGAGAAAAGGACCCTTTACATGGAGTGACGGATGCCGGGTACATGAAGTCCCAGCTTCACGCAGCTTAGCGGATGAGTTCATAGAGAGATCGACGAAGAGCTCGTAAATCCATCAGGAATGCCTAAAACTGAGGAAACTCACCGAAAATACTGATTATTTTCAACTCGATTCTACTGATGATCCGATGATACGTCGATGAGTTCCGCCCCCTGGCTGCCGGTTGTCCAAAGTAGACAGTCAGCGAGGAAACAAACAACGGTCGGTGGATACGGTAGAGCCTGGAAGGGAGCAGACGACCACCAGGTGGTCGTCTGCTAAGCGGGGCGGCCAGAGATGAAACTTTTGCGAAATAGGGCCGGCAAGGGGTCAGAGCATGGTCTAGAGGAGTCTGGGGATCAGGATTAATCCTTTGCGATATCAGAAGTCCTGATGGTGTAGTGCCGTCACTGCGCAGAGGGAGACGGAGAATCCGGGAGCGATAGTTCAATGGGCGCACTTGGGCTTCCGAGGAGAATAAACATTCCCAGTGCTGTCTCCTCTTACCCCGAAAACAAACAAGGGAACCGGTCGCGCGATCCATCGGAGAATTTCTCAGCCAAATGGAAAAAACGGTCGATAGTCATTGAGGAATACTCGATAAGCAATGAACGTCAGGGAAGTTGGAGAGGTACGTAAATTTGACGGAAATGCGGATCACTGATACCGTCGTCGTTCTGTTGTGCTGCGTGTTGAGGTTTAGAAGTGGAATTCGGGTAAGGAATGATAGGGCAATGCAGCCCTCACTCCTCATCACCCGTCCTACACCCCTCCTCGAAGACTTCGTTTCGCCTCCTGCGAGCTCCGTCTATTCGCAGCCTCTTCAGGGTGATACCTCGGTACGCAGGTTCCGAGTGTAGCCTTCAGGGCAGTAAGGGACTGCATCGGACCACTGAGGGGGTCTCGAGACAATCTCTATAGCAGACAATCCTATCCGCTGATTCCGTTCCGTACCTCCCTAGGTGGGGAGAGCTGAGGAGGAATATAAGAAAAACGTAGAATGGATTCCTTGCATGCGAACGTCTTTCCTGACCGGAATTTCATCGGGACTCGGTGCCGGGATCTTATTCTTCCTCTTCACAAGTAAGTTTCCGATCCGATCGCGGGTTTGCTCGAGATTGATCTTCCCTAGTCGGACGATAGAAAATTCTCTGCTGCTTCCCAGTGGCCTTCGAGTCGTTCATGCAGTCTCGATAAAAGAGATGGGTACTGTGCTGAATTTCAGAGTAGATCTAGCAAGCCTCATATTCCAGGTCGCTCGTCACAATCCGTGAGCGTCGGCGCAACGGTCAATCTGGTCGTCACGCTCGGAAGATACTTTCAGTGCAGGTAGGTATCCAGCTCAGTTTCATAGATGGACCCCGTCGATCCTTGACACACCGAGAAGCAGGTCTCAAGTTTTTTCTCGCCATCACAGATGGGACCGATCGCAGAGCGCGTTCGAAGCTCGAAAAATGAAGCACGCCCTCACTACGATGAGTGAGCTCCGTGGAACCGAAGAGGATCCTGAACTTGAAAGAAGAGGGGACTAGTTCATGTAATTTTAGGTTACCGAAATTGATAAAACCGGACTGAGGCAGCACAGAAGCCTTATTGAGCCTTCTTACTGACGAGCCAAGCAGCCCTCAAGCATGCAAGATCTGAGCTCGCAGGTTGGGCGCGGCGATCCTAACGAGATGATTCCAGGCTGGACGCAACGACGATCCGCTCGATCTGCGGGAATGGCCATCCGTTGTTGACGAATCACGGCTCGTTGTCGTCGAGCCGGCTGAGTCACGCTGACGCGGGGAGGGGGCGTTGGGGCAAGTTGAAATGACCGCAAGTCGCGGAACCCATAAAAGAGAGAAATTACCCCATCATGAAGGTGGAGGGCGATCGGTACTTAGTCGTCTTTCCAGGCCACGCCAGGATGGCCGATGTCGCGGAAAACCTGGACCAGACTCATGTTCCTCTTGTCTCTCTGGTAGACCTGGAAAAGAATTGAAGCTCCAGATTTTTTTTTGCTGCCGAGATAAATTACACTTATTGATGCTACCGAGATATCCGAGTCAGGAAGAGAAATGAGATTGCAAAATTATTTGATTCTATACGAATAAAAATATTGGCATCTGTCACTCGATCGGAATATTCTGCGTCGGTTGACGTAGAATTGTAGCCCTCAAGGAGAGGAATCTTATCCACAAAGTTTCATCGAAATCCATCCAGGCATTCAAACGTTAGAGGGAAAATTCGAAGTGCGCGCATACTTTCGTTACACAGTTCAGAATCAAAATGAGGTCAGCTCCATTCTCCCGCCGTTCGATAATCTGAGAGCATTCAAATTTGAATCGAGAAAATTAAACGCTCATGTCAGTTTGAAACGGTTAGGAAGAGTCGTTTGCGCCACGTGATCTAGAAGTTCCCGAGGGGGCCGAACTCATCTTCTATTCGTGCATACACATCGAGGAGAAGTTCCAGAGGTGGAGAAGAGGGAGAACTTCCCGATTTTTCCTGGAGAAGTTACCCAACGCCGTTCTTCGGTTTGACGAGCATTCCGAACCGAGAGACTGTACTCCATTCCATGTCCGAAACGAGCCAATTTCTCAGAGGATGTCCATTACACGCCGTACTCGCAGTGCACAGCTTGCGTCAAGTCTCCGAGGGAGGACGTCCTTCCATTGGGGAATGGTTTCCGTCCGGCGTCAGCATATGGCTCTCATTCGGCCGCGGAGATACTACGAAAGCTTCACATGGAGGGGGCGCGTATTCCGCATCGGAGATTGTGTGCTGATAGGCAATGGCGACTGCCCTTCAGAACCTTACGTCGGTGAGTTTCTAGCAAACATTGCCTTGGGTCGTTTGAGAGCGAGAAGTTGTTTACGAAAGTCTTCCCCATCCCAGCGAGGCTCGAAGGATTTTGGGAATCATCTGCTCCTAACAAGGGGGTCCGGCACGAAGGTCGAGTCTCTTGGTTCTATACAAGTGAGGAAATCAAAGCCCGTAAGAATCTGGGGCTCGAACCTGCAAGGAACGAGGTATGTCGCTCAATTCTTCACTCAGTCCGAGGCTCGTGCTGGAGCTTCAGCGTGGCCATCGGCGGATGTCCCTCGCCTCCTCATCGGAATTCCCGGATATCATGGAACGACATGCGGGTTCGATTCCGAGATCGAATGCTCTCAGTTCTCATTCTTCCAGCTTGTCGCTCTGGGAGACATTGGTATTTCTGCGCCCAGTCCTTTCGTGGATTTGGAGACCATTCGCGAAGTCTGTACCGTTGTGTACGTGAGCGAACGAGTGAGGTCAATGCCTGACAGCGACGATCTGGGACGGAGTCAATTTTTCTGCCGGTAAGTTTCATATTGTGCAATCACATGTGGAGCGCATAGCGTCGATTCGGCGGCCAACGAGGTGGCCGATTCCAGGACCGTTCACCCAGCATGAGCGGACACGGATCGCTCGCAGAGCCGATAAGAGCCCGAATGCGAACAATCGCCGGAATTCCGAAATGCAATCACGATGAGGTCAGTCGAGCCGTCTCCATAGGTAGAGCTCCGCTCTCGGCCTTCATCGGACATTATCACCGGGGAATCCGATGAACTCGGTTCTACCGAATGTGGCGGGAGGACGAGTCTCTCGCTTAGCTGCAGAAATTCTCCGAGACTCGTGGGCCGACGTCGCTCGTCGACTTATCCTCCTGGAGACGGCGCCTATTCCAGGAATTCCCCGGAAGGTTGCTGGAAGAGTCGCTCGACGAACGACTCGACTCGATCTGCTCGGACTGACGCGAGAATCTGAACCAATTCCAGTTATCTGCTGATTGGACGAGGTATTCTCCAGCCTCTCTTCTGCCAAGGACCTGTGGCTCAAGAAGATATCCCGAAGGACCAACGAAGGAATCTTGAGCCCGATGGAGGCTCAAGGGGAAATGCGCGGGCTTCGCCAGACAGGGGGCAGAGTGCTTCCCCTTGCCCAATGCTGAATAGGGAACTTCGGGTCACGCTCGTCGATTTCAGGGTTAGCTCGAGTTTCGGAAGTTCAGGCATTCTGGCACTCTCGAAATTCATCAGTCGATCAACCTTTCAACAGAGTAGCTAATTATGCCGTTGCTTAATGTTTGTCTCCCGAAGGCTGCAATTACCAAGAGCGCCGAGAGGATGACACCGCGCAACACCTCGAATCCGGTCAGGGAGCCTCGCTCGACGGGTTCCCTCAGTCGCGAAGTCGCTTCCGAGGGACGCGTGAGACGCAGGTGGGTGTCCCGTGGAGGAGTTTCCGGGCAAATGATTGCGGGCGCCAACGATGTGAACGGAGACTTTTCGCCATCGGTCTGCAGGTGTGATCCACCCGAGAGAAAAGCTCGGACCCAAGCTATGCATTGCGCCACGGCTCGGCGCTTCCTCTCGGTTGCACAGGAGTCCCTCGCGCCTACAACGGAGACCGGAGGAGTATGTCGATGTTCCCCGAGAAGAATTCGTCGATAAGCAGACAGAGGTCCGTACGAAGAAAGATGAATATCTTGAAGAGTCATTCCTAGGATATTTTTATCAATAAAGTACCCGGATGATTTCGAACGCGGGAAATCCTTCTTAGATCGCTGCCCGAATCGGGTGCATTTCAGGTCGTTTCTGTGCATGTTGTTGATAGCTTTGACAGTGATTGATGATTCATCGACCATCCCGTCGGAAACCACGTTCCGACACTAAGTTGAGTACGAAATCCTCCATGCAGGGGCGAAGACTCAGCTGGTCGGTGGTGGATTCGGTCACTCCTCGCGTCTCGACGGTGGACTTCCGACAATCTTCGGGTCCCATTTCTCAAACAGAATTATCGTCAAAGCTACCGTCTTCAGTGAGCCTTCTCCGTGTAGCCGAGCGTTTTCAGTATAACATGATCGGCCTGATCACGCTCGCTGGTGTCATGGGAGAAATGGTCGTCTGGGCTGCAACACGAATCAGTTCTCATATGCGTCACCGTGACGTGATCGATTCAGGCGGACGAACTGGAATCGAGGTCAAACACGGAATGCTTGAGGCTCAACATTTTCAATGACTTTCAGAATCCTCATTGAGTTCGACCTGAGGAGCTTCCTGGCGAGCGCTCTTTGTGTTTTCGGGCACTGACTTGTAGTAATCATTCGAGTAATGGAAAAAAGATCCTCCGCGCTCGAATAAAAATCTCCGGGCGCGCTCAAATGGGGAATGGTTAAGGAAAAGGGAGTTTCGGTGCAGAAGTTACTTCGGTCTTCGGATATGTTCACCCCCATGGACCAACGGGCGGGGAATCTAACGCAAGGAGAGGCAGAGAGCGATCTTGCCGCTGCGACCTGAGAGATTGTTATAACCTCAGCGAGAAATGAGCCGCCGGAAAACGATCAAATCGGAAGAGGGTGCGAGCGGAGCCCGCCTCCAACAGGCCGTCGGGAGACTTCTCAATAGGTTTTTTTCCCCGCGTGACATTAACGGAAGCGGGACGAAGACTTGGGGCTTAGAAGATATACGCCGGACGTTAGGGTACCATCAATCTCCATCATCGAAGCTACGATTCATGTTGCTGGTTTATCTCGATTCGCTAGGGAATCTGCGGCCGCTCAAGTCGAAATGCTCGTTCGGGAGAGGGTAATTCGACTCATAGCAGCAGCGATGGACAACATTCAAATTTTCCCGCGCGCGCGCTGCGAACAGCTGGTGGATCTTTAAAGTTCCGATCGAGTCCGCTCATCTTCAGGGCCTTGCCCGGTTTAATGAAGCGGATTCGCGCTTTCGTCAGACATCTACTCCGCGCCATCAGTGAGCCTGTGTAGGTCTCCGGAGAATCTCGGCGAATTCGTTCTGCTACAGCAAGGGTGGGTCTTCCCCGTTCTGCCTTTCCGACTCCGGAGTTTTTTCAATTGCACTCACTCAGAAATCTTGACTCGTGTCCGTAACCGAACGCTCGGTCTACTGGCTGATCAAATTTTAAAACACGGTTTTCCTCCAGGCATGTCTGTTCGCCGGACGAGAAGGACGGCGTGCCAGTCGCCTCAGAAAAGCGGAGGCGAGTCATTTCTCTGGGGTAAAACGGCAACTCGACCCAACGATGTGGCTATTAACCGCGGCTTGAGATACTTCGAGGGTTTCACGTGGGAGGGACAGAAGTATCGCGTAGGTGACTGCGTATTGATCGGGAACGGAGCCGAAGAGCCGTACGTCGGTGAGTTCGATTTCCGTCATTCCACCGCTGAATTGTTTTGGCGCCAGATCGGATATAGAAACAAATTATATGTATCTTTAGCGAAACTGGAGGAGCTGTGGGATTATGGTGATCCATCGCGGACAACTAAATACGAGGGAAAAGTGTCTTGGTTCCTGAGATCTAATGAAATCAGGAATGAGACCCTAAAATCTCAAATGAAGAAAAATGAGGTGTGTTGTCGGACTCGATTTGATTTTTCCAAGACCTCAAATATCGCGGCAGAAACCCGGAACGCGGCGGCCTACAGGGGATCGGCTTGTTTCACTTGGTCATTCCCGTTCCGCCAGGTGTTTTCTTCGAGGAGTACCGGTCGCTCTGCTCCTAGCAAGTTGATCGATTTGGAGAGTATTTGTGGTATCTGTGAAGTGCTCATAGTGAACGAAGACGTTGATTCGATCCCACCGGAAGACCCTTCAGGTCGGCCTCAGTTCTTCTGTCGGTGAGTATCCTTCGGGTCTGATTGATCACCGAGAATATTCGGGATTCCGGGGGATATTCTCGTACTTTCGGACGATCCTCGTGATAGGTACAGGTACTCGCTCAAGGATCCTTATACGAAATCCTATTCATTTCTATCCCTCGTAACTTCTCCTTCTCTCCCAGCTACCAGCAACTTGGGCATGGAAAGGTGAAGCCTTTATTTCCTGCAAATAGCGGCGCACTGAAAACCCCGAAGAAGGCTTCTCAGAATGGAGCCGACAAACTTGAGAACGATCCCGGAGCACTGGATCCTCCTCAGACTCCGAAAACGAGAACGAAACCCGCGCTGAGACAAGAATCGAATGGTCGAGATGCATCTCCGTCCCTCCGAAAGCCATTGATGCCACTTTGTGACTCCAAGCTGAAGGCAAGTTTCCGGGATCCGGCTCCGGAAAGATTCGCCCTGGAAGGAGAGGAACATAGGTCGGTATGCTCACAAGACCGCTCGGATCTCCCTTCAGGTTTCGCCGATCAAGGGTTTTCTGAGTATAAGGATTCGGAGATCAGATGAGGAAAACTGTCGGCTCCACATGGAAAGGCAGACTCCTAAAGCGCCCGATACTGAGGAGAAACTCGCTCGCGGTCTTCGACGAATGGCCCTGACCGGCGAACGAACTCCTCTGGGAGCAGCAAGGAGCAACGGGGCGGATTCGGTCTCCACACCGAAAAGCTCGAAGTTAGAAAGAACGGCCACCACAACGTGAGTGATTAGGATCCTGACCCGGGATAATAGCGCAATATATGAATGGGACGGAGAAATCGGGCATTAAGCCGGACGAAGCCTGGATCACCTCGAAGGGGAAATGACTCATACAATTTTTGGAATGCTACTCACTCAGACGGTCGGGTCGACTGGTGCGGACTCTCTTCCCCAAGAACGAGGTGAAATCTCCCACGAAGAAAGCTGAGATAAGCGACGACGATTTCGTCAGTGAGGACGAATACAAGATAGCGAGTGCCGAAACCGATAACGAAAGTAGTACCGATAATACAGAGGACGACGATGAGTCGCCAAGACGTCCTCGAGCTTCGAGGAAAACAGGTAAGTCGATGTTCACTCAACAGTCAGCTTCCTTCGCCGTCGAGCAGATCGACGGGATCGTCTCCGACTTCATTATGGCCGTCTCCCGCCCGATGCATGAAACGTTGATTCTGGAATTAATCTCACATCTCTGATCCCTATTCTTCTCAGCCGGCGCGAGGAAGGGCTCGAGACCCGCATCGATTGCCGAAAGGAGGGCCGCTCCGACCCCGTCGATGCCGTCGAGGAAAGTCAAGTCGAAACAGCCACAAACCGACATCGAGAAAGCTTTGAGCAAGCTCCACGTATGCGCCGTTCCGGATCAGCTCCCGTGTCGGGAAGATCAATTTGCAGAGGTGTGTGCAAGAGTGAAATTTCCCACGCTCGGTTAGTCCGAAATCGGCTTCACCAGAGAACGCGACTGGATTATACCCTATCTGAACCCCCTGAGCTGACCGAATTGTGCGGGCATCCAGAGTCCTTCGATGACCACCATGCGTACCGTTTGATGCCATACTACTTTGAATTTTCCGCCCACAGATTTATGATTTCGTGGAGGGCAAGCTCGCCGATCAGGTGGGGTCTTGTATGTATATTTCTGGGGTGCCCGGAACCGGAAAAACTGCTACGGTTCGAGAAGTAATCAGAGCACTGCAAAATGCGGATGATGTTCCGGAATTCAAATTCATCGAAATAAATGGCAGGTCCCCCTCTTCAAGCTTTCGCGCTCCGAGCCTGAGGCTCAATATCAATCGGAGAAGATTCAGGAATCGATGAAAAAGCGACTTCGGCCGTGCGCCTCACAGCTCATTTCTGTCTGTTTGTTCTAGGTATGAAGCTTACGGAGCCAAACCAAGCTTACGTGCAGATCTTGAGACAGCTCAACGGGAGGAGAGCCACAGCAGAGAATGCTGCAGACATCCTTACCGGTATTTTCAAGAAGAAGCAGAAGTCGTCTGATAACATGATCGTCCTCCTCGTCGACGAACTCGATCTTTTGTGGACGCGGAAACAACAGGTCAGTCCCGAAATCCACAGCAAAGAGCAGCCCTACGGCGCTGCGCGTAGAGATTCCCGATAAGGGAAGTTGTAGATCCACGTTGGATAGATCAAGGGGGAGAGCGCGTCGGGAAATGTTGCAATGAACTCCATATAACTCCATAAAATGGGAAAAACTTCTCCGTGGCAGGTACTGTACAATATTTTCGACTGGCCGACCCATCCGAACTCGCGTTTGGTCGTCGTCGCGATCGCCAACACGATGGATCTCCCCGAGAGGATGGTCATGAACAAAGTTGCCTCCAGGATGGGCCTGAGTCGGATGACTTTCCAGCCGTACACATTCCAAGTGAGAACTTTATGTCAACTCGATGTTCACCCGGTCACAGTCGATCCTATGCATATGTCCTTCGTCACCGGGGCTCCCCATCGTTCCAGCAACTCCAAGAAATTGTCAAAGCTCGCCTGAGCGGTCTGGAGCTCATGGATCCGGACGCTGTTCAGTTCATCTCGCGGAAAGTTGCTGCCTTGTCAGGAGACGCTCGAAGAGCATTGGACGTGTGTCGTCGTGCGGTGGAACTCTCCGGAACTTGTGACGATATACAAGCCTCGCCAAGCAAGAAAGCCAAGAAATACAGCGTTCGGATGGAGCACGTCAATCGGGCTGTAAAGGAAATGTTCACTTCGAGCAAAATCGTGGCGATGCAAGCTCTCAGCTTCCACGAGAAGCTCGTACTCCGGGCCATCGTGGCCGAATTCCGCCGCACCGGCGTCGAAGAATGTGTTTTCCATAACGTCAACGATCAATATGCAAGTCTCGCAAGACTCGAGGGCGCTGCTCCATTGAACACCTCGTTGCTTAGCAGAATCCTCGCCAGGATGGCATCATCGAGGCTCCTGATATTGAGTGATCCAAGGAATGATTTCCAGCAGAAAATCAGCTTGAACGCCACTGCTGACGATGTCAACTTCGCTCTCCGCGAACAGGTTGAGTGCGATGCATGAACAAGGGAGGGCAATTCCCCTCCGGGAGCCAGAGAGCTCAATCATCGGTTGTGAGTGTCTAGCTGAAGGACAGCGGGGCGCGATTCCTCTATTGATTTCTTCCCGCAATTTTATACAAACGAGCTATAAAGCGGATCTCTTCATTCAAGTGTGTCTTCATTCGAGCTGCATCCATAGATGATTTTCTCGGGGCTCTTACCAGCGGGCATTCCTCGGTGCAGAGGAGGCATGCATATGAGGAGGTCCTACTAGTCGTCAAGGGAATAGCCCCGAGATCGATTCGTCTCTACGGAATTAGCCACTGATTAGACCTATCGAGTGTTTTCAGGTTCAAATTCATCGTCTCAATGAGCGGGATGACCCACGTTAGGCTTCGGAACCTTTCAGGTCCAGCATGAGAAGCTTTCGCGTCTGTGGGTCGATATCAGGTTAATGTGATAGCTCGCGTAGCAAGGGGTTGGTTCGTGAGATGCACTCAAAGAAAGAGAAAAAGAAACACCGCCGTCAACAATCGAGAAATCGGTTGCAATGGAGCGGGACGATAACAAAGAGGATTTGGAGAATTTAGAGGCCGAGAAGCTTGCTCCGGGGAGAAGAGGGGAATTTTCGATGAAACGGTGGGAGCAGCGCCAGGAAGAGTCCGAGAATTCAGAGGCCGAGAAGCTTGCTCTGAGGAAGAGAGAGGAATCTTTGATCGAATGGTCGGGGAGGCTCCGAGCCGGGATTGAAAATCAGGAAGCAAGAAAAAACAGAATTAATTCCGAGAAAATGCCATCGAAATAAAATCGAAGCCGTACGGAGCGGTTATTCGCGGCGTTCCCTACCAGTCAAAATACGATTGATGATGAATGGTGAACGAATGAAGGCGGTCGGAAAAGCGTTGGATGAAAAGCTCCGGAATTCGGAGAGGGGAAAGAAATCGGGATCTGGTGTGATCCCGTGTGATGTACCTTTTTCCGTCTTCGGACACAAATCAACAAACTTAATGGCAAATAGCAAAAATAAATCCAAAGCGGCTCGAAAAGCTAGGTAAGAGACCGTGGAAGAGACCGCCCCATTCCGCTCAGACTCTCAATGAGTAAAATTTCACTCCGCGTACTTCTCCTACGTTCCTCCAATAGACTAAGCATACCTACGATTGTACGATCGTTATCACAAGCATACGTACAAGCGTACGGGAGTACGCCGTAGGATGCGTTGCAGCGTTCAAACCGAATTTCATGTCTAAGTTCTACTACGGGTTCTCCTTCGACTAAACATACGTACAAATCGTACAAAAGTACGATCGTACAAAAAAGCCGTACAATCGCACAGCCGTACAAAAAGAATTTCAGGTCCAATCGAGAGACACCCGGGAGTCGAAGAAAGAGCTGAGTTCGAGTTCGGAGTGCATGAATTCGCAATTCGGGATCGCGGGAGGGACCTCGGGTTATGATAGGGGCTGCTCGCGAACGTTCCTTCCATCGATTGGAGATAATCGCCCCAAAGAAGCAGAATCGTTTCGTCTGTCAATTTTTTCCACCACCGATAAACAGTGCTTGATCCAGTCAGCCAGTCAGTAATCCTCAGCAGTCTGCGAAGCTTGGGTGCAAGCGCCGAAATAGTAGAGCCGCTGTGGTTTGCACCGTGCACGTAATCGAGTGCCAATTCGCGAGATGCGAAAAGAATGATCCTGACTTTCAACGAACGCGTCCCATGATTTACAGAAAAAACTTATCCGAGTAATGTACACCCCGAATGTCCTTGTTTGTCCTGCTTCGAGAATGAGTACCTACCGTGTCCTTTTTTGTGAGACTTCTAAGGGACTTGCTGCAAGACATGTGGGGAGTGGGGAGACATCGCTCTCCTCGTCGGATTCGCGCTATCTGGAAGCCGGAGTCCGGATCGGAGAAAATAATTTATTCCGGATCATCTCCTTTTTGATGGTGCTCTTGGAGGTCTTAAAGAAAATAAGTCGTACTAATTATTGGCATTCGAGAGGTGCGTGAGGAAGCGTTTCTGCGTCAGATCAAAGAATGTCGGTGTCATTCATCCAAATCCAAATGTTTGATGATAGACGAGAAGACGAAGTTCATTCACGAGATCCTGACACGGACCTGATCACTGCATCTCTCGCCGTGTCTGGATATGATACTTTCTGGGGGCGATCACCGCTCGAAACAGAGATCCCGTCTGTCGCGTGTCATCGAAGTTGATGCTGGACGAAAAATCTTTCCTCCCGCAGCCAGAAGCGACGTCTGACGTTTCCTCCCAGCGCTCTCTCGGAACACGGGACAGCTCTGAATTCTCGGGAGCACTTCGAATATGCGAAGAGTTCCCCTGTTTGATTCACCTAATTTCGTTGACATTGTTGCTGATCTTGACCGCTGGAGCTGTGAGCAGGTTCTGGGAGCCGAATGACACTGTCGATTGTCCCATGGAGGGGTGAGTAGAAGTATCTTCGATGAATCGAGTCGAGAGATGGACTCGAACACGGTGCGCCCATCGGTGTACGTTTGCAGGGATTTCGTGATCATACTTGAGAAATCGGAGGATCGGATTCTGACCTTATACGCTGTAACGTTCAAGGAAAGCTTCGCGGTAACCCAGACCGTAGAGGTGGGCTTCGAGTCCGCCCCCTCTTCCGAGGGGGAAAATGGTGCCTGGCTCATGTACGAGCGTCCAACCCCTCCCCTCCCCCCTCTGCAGACAATCATCATTGTTTTTGATCATGGCGGATGGCGGACACCTGTAATCCAAATCCCTTCCAGGCCCGCTATCCAGAGAGCCTACGAAATCATACCCCTATGTCGGCATAAGGACACGCCGCTGAAAGTCCTCACTACCCCGGATCAGGCTTCGCAGGGGGCCGTTGGGGAAGCCTTGGCAAAGAGCAGATTCCTCAGAGTCGATGAACCAGTGACTTCGATTGATATGAGAGTTCGAGGTCGGTGATAAGATTATTCTGCTCGAGAGCCTGATTCGTGCCGCAACCCTTGCAAACGGTGATAAGTTGCTCTGATAACGCAGGGTATCTCACCTGGCTCAGCGTCGCGAGCCTCTTGAAATGGGAGCCGGAATCAATCGATGAGACGGGGGTGATCGATTTCGACGGTACGATTCTCTATAGAGCTTATCGGTCGACCGCAGTGGCTGGGAATGACTGCGTTAACTACACGCTGTACGCCGATCGACCGTGGAATTACGGAAAGTGTTTTTTCGCGCCATCCATTGCTCTCAGCTGGGAAAAGCTTCTGAATAAAGACCGAGAGAGCAGAGAAGAGTGGATCAAGGCATGCTTCCACCATAAAACAAATTCGACCCTCGATTTCGGCTTTGTGCGCGTTGAGGTGCAACCGGGGGAACGGACGCCGTCATTCTCCGGATGCGCAGAGGCCACCGCCAATTTGCTCCCTTATGGGGACTATCTCTTCCTTGATTTCCCGCGGAGCTACCGTCGGACATATTTTATTCAACGAATCGGAGGTTTCGCAGTTGGAAGGTCGCTCGTCAGAGCAGAGAGGGGCCTGAGTAGGGAATCCTTCCTGGAGGCGGCCGAAAAATGTAAGTATGCTCAAGAGAGTTGCAGATATGAGTTCTGCATTGTTTCGGCGGCACAAACAGGTGCCGCATCATGATCGCTCAGGGGAGACACCTCCCTTCGATCTCTTGATTTCTTCTAGCCTGCAGCCTCTTCCGGAAGTCGAAAGAATTCCGTTGTGCCGAATATTCTCTTCTGTATCACATTTTAGACATGGAGAGATTGAACTCGACGCTGTTCGTAAGTGAATCGATTTGACCTTGCTGCGCACAGTGCATCTTCGATCAGATGTCGACCTGCTTAAAAGGACGGGCTCATCATCGCTTGCTGACTCTTGCAGTTCATCGAGGAGATCAGGGGCCAAACGATAAATTACATCCATGGAGTCGCTTGGATGGAAGCTTTGTGGAAAAAACATCGGAATTTCAGTGACCTAGCAGTTTGACTTGTTTTACGAGGAAAAATCACCACACCGCGCGGGGCAGTGTCTAAAAGTTTTTCCTGTCCTTAAGGGCATCGGAGTCCAAAAGACTTTGGAGCTCTACTTATCCCTTCAGACTGCTCGATGCAGCGTTCATATCGTTCGCTGTCAATAAAGCTTCATATCATGGTGGCATCACATCCACCTGTACCATGATTTAGTCATGTCTGACCGTGGAAGAGTCTGACCGTAGTTCGACTTTTCCTCTTCAGTGTTTTTGTCTTGTCCAGTACCCTGCTCGTTCAAGATCACGTCGCTGGTTCGGTCAGACGTTTACCATCCGTCGCTTCGATAGCTATAGCTATGTTATTACTTCTGTCTGAATGTAATCCGAGTGAGACTTCCATCACCGGAAGAGCTTCTCCGCATGCTTCGAGCTCAGTGGCGGCGCCAGCGGGAAGCTTTGCAAGCTATACCTTCCCAAGCCTCTGAAGTCGGGAAGCAGAGCTTCCTTAAAATTTTCCGATCATATGTTCCATCGGTTTCGGAGCATTCAGACTGCTGCTGTCGATCATGCCGGGTTGAATTTCTCGAGGTCACGAGAAAGACTTGATCGCGCACATGCGCTTGGACGCACTATGTACACGCACGCAACTTCGAAACGGGGGTTTCCTCTTTCATGATTGGTGATGCCCCAGCTGATATCCGTCATCGACATCTGACCGAGAGCTGAGAACTTCCAAATCAAATCGTGGACGAATTCGCCAAAGGCAAAGATCGAAGAATTCCTCAAGTGGTACGACTGTGATTCAAACGCTTGAGTGAGTCGTATCTCAGCTCGTCGCTAGGAAAGTAACATGAGACGGCACGCGGAAAGTCTCCGCTGTTTCTACAATATAATATACAAAGAAATGTATCATTGTATGCATCTATGCAACACTAATACTTGCCTTATAGAAAAATTCTTTGTGTCTCCGAGCGCGCTGACTTCCCGGTTCGGGGGAAGCTGTATCCAAGAGAAATTCAAGCTTCTAAAAAAAAATGGCTGTTCGAGCTCACCATCAT